GCGGCCGCAGCGCCCGTGTTAAATGCCCCGAAAAGGGGGCCCCAAAAGGCTGGGGGTCAAAACCGTTTTGGGATCCCATGTTGGTTGGTAGGTGAGTTCACCACCCAAAAATTAGAACCTATTTTCGTGGTTGCATTGGGATGTTCACTGGGGGTGCGATTTGGATTTTGACCCATGGCCAAAAGCGGTGGACGCTTCCCAACGAGAAAATACGTTTGATGGTTGGGAACTCCCGCGCCGCGCCAACCATGCTTGTTGCTAGTATGTAAGGGGGAATCGAATCAGAAACCAGGGTTTCTTAGTTTGTGCAGGAGTTCGTCCATCTTCAGTCTGAAACCGGTGGCATGTCTCTTAGGGGAACCCCAAAATGGCGCATCGAAGTTCCTGTTGGTTTCCCTTTAAAACAGCAAAAGAAGGGTAACCTCGGAAAAAGACACACAAATTGCGTTTCCACAACCTCACAAAACGACACCTGGTAAGGTCACAGCCACGGTCAATATTCACAGTTTCCCCTTGGTGAGTATCCCCGATTTCGTCATGGCAATTTGGTGAGTATATCTAATGTTATTCCCTTGGCTACAGTAGAAGATCGTGAATATTCACCAAACCTCACATGAGTAAATGCATCATTCCCCCCTTAGGGGCCGCCTCTGTCAGTCAGGGCGGTCTAACGATACGATATGTCATAGTGCAACGACATACTTCTCAGAGGGGTATGCCAAATGGGAACATGTTCTTGCAAACCTCCCAAGTTGCAGCGGGTGGCACGAGTACGGTGGCCAGCCTCTCCCAGCGTCCAGCAATGAAAGGCTCAACGTTTGGAACGAGTGGTCCCCGTTCGACCAACATGGTGAGAGAGGCACACCAAAATCACGCGTGAAAGCCGGACGGAATGCTTAACGTGTCACCGAATTTCATGGGGAAATCCGGCAAGCAAGTTGCGGTGGGCCAAGGGAAACTATCGAGGCGTGAAACCATCCAAAAGGGAGATTGGGGGCACCCCAAAAGCTGGTCGGGGCGAATGCATAGACCCTACCCAAATATCGTCAAATACCATGTGTTGTCAGGGTATCACGTTCACCTGACAAAATCAGGAGGTGTTCACTCACCATGGACACCAGCTTGGAGCAAAAAAAACGGAGAAACTATTTGGAGGGTGAACCCAACCGGATCTTGGGCAATCGGATTGGGAGCGTATGCCTCAAAGCCCCCGATGGTTTTTGGGCCCGAATGAGTTTTCCGTCGGGGCCAGGAATCGATCTGGCGTCAGGAGCCTTCGCAAGGGTCCTAGGCCCAGGTCTGAATATGGAATCAGGGTTCCCCAATTTCACCCCCTGAGGGCTTCTGAGTCTTTAAAATGTCATTGTATTTTGGGCCACTCTGGACGTTTACAGAAAGATTTGGAGCAACCGCATTGACCCCTCAATCCACGTTTGGCCCAGACTGATCCGACCCCAGAAAGTGAAATGCTTCAGCTCACGGCAAAACATCCAAAAAGGCAAGCTACGTCTGGAAGTTTGCTGCCTCGTCCCTCACGCTTTCTGCAAAATGGGCCATAGACGATTTTTCTCAAAACTTGTAGTGGGTTCAATGGACACCCAACCACAAAACCAACTAGAAACCTCAGAACCAAGGGAACTGGACGGCTGGGCACCACCAAGAGAAGTTGGGCCATTTTTGGTGAAAGAGGAGAAGCCCCCTGTTTGCTCTCTCCTCTCTCCTCTCTCCTCTTGGCTCCTCTTTGCTCTTTGCTCTCTCCTCTCTCCTCCCTCCGCTCTCCTCTCTCCTCTCTCCTCTCTCCTCCCTCCTCCCTCCGCTCTCTTTTCCCCTTCCCCGGCAGCTCCAGGCCTATCTCTTCAGCCCAGGCCCGGGCCAGCAAGAGCAACACCTCGCGGAGGCAAAGTGACTGGACCATGCGCCCAGGGCCCAAGGGATACGTCCAACTCTTTTAGGATTTTTTTGGACCCGCCCAAAATGGCGCCTAACCGGGCTTTCTTTTCGATGTCGCCTTCTGTTTTTTTCACCAACCAACCCCAAGAGGGTACCGAGCTACATGAAGGTTTCTGAAAATTGGGTCCCCTCTTGCGAAATACTGTGGCTTTGGTTCCCGTTTAATCACCAACAAGGGTCCATTTTCAGAAACATCCAAGTGGGTATCCAGGGTGTAACGCTGAGGGGCGTTGGAATTAACCGGAAAATGATTCGGATCTGAATCCCTTGCCAGAGACCAGCAATGGTGCGTGACGGGTTGGCATTCCATTCATCGGTGACCTTTGGAAAGATGTCGATCGGTTTCCTCGGTAAATGGGCCATACCGATCTAAACCAGTGAAACCCATCTATTTCTAGGTCCTCCAGTAGAGAGGTTGGAATAAGGGTACCCTTTTTCTGTACTCTATTTTAGTAGGGGAACCCTCCTCAAAAAAGGGTAAAAGGGCACTACTGGGGGAGATAGATTTCAAACTAACCAATCAAAAAGGAGACCAATGATTCCGTTTCTCATGCCCTGACCTGCAAATGCTCCCAAAGGAAACCACCACCTCCCCCGTGGCTCCGCACGAATACACGCGCCATTCGGATCGGCAGGTGCTTCCAACCCGCGTCGTCGGCTTACGCCGCGCGGAAGTGAGAAATTGATCGAAGCCAGCTTCCAGGGCTGAAGGTGTCTGGTCGATGTTGGAAACATGCTGCTGGCAAGAGGCGCTTACAAAGAAGCCCTGATGAAAGCCGTGGTGGTTCCCCCCTTTTGCAAAAACGGCGCGGCGAAAACCGACCTGCGCCAAAAGTTGGGGGGAAATCGTCTGAGATCGTGGGAGTTCGAAGCCGGTGGTCTCTGCGAAAGTTGCTTCGATTCCCAACCCACAAGAAATCAGGAACTCTGATCGGCTGAAAAACCACAAGACCCAGCAAAAGTTCCGGTTGAACCGCTGGTTGAAACGGGAACCGGTGCGCATTCCCGCTATGTTCGGTTCACTTGAGCTGCTCGCAGTCTGATGCCATTGACGGACTCTCGCCGGCCACTGGACTCTCGAGCCACAAAGCGCGCTGGTAACGTCGCGTGCTCAGGCCAGTCCCTTTGAGTCAGAAGCACTCTGCTTCAGAGCCATCAACTTCCATTTGCTTAAGCCCCCTGGATTTGTTTTCCTTTTTTGATGTTTCCAGTAGTGATAGACTCCATTTTAAAACCAACGAGGGAAAATAAATAAATCCAACTATTCTTTTCAGCAAATGGAAGCCAAGCAAGTCCTGGGAAAGTCCTGCAAAGTGGCCCCCTAAGTAGCATTCCCCAGACATGAGCACCCAATTGGCTCAATCGCAATGTGGGACGTGCCACACGTGCCACCCATGCCTGCCAAACAATAGCACGCAACATAGCTGTGGATGGTTGGGCATCCATAAAATTTATCACCGTTCAGAAACCCTGGAGTTTATGATACGATTCCCCGGTAAATACCAAATCCATCTCGCCCATCCACAGTGTTAATCGTTGCGAATAGTCACTATTTTGTTGCCATGGACTCCCCTTGATGATGCTGAATCGGTACCTGAGGTGGATGCCTCAAAATACTACAAGTGAGCCAACCGCATTCAACCAACCCTGGTATATTGCGGTAGTCTCTACAGGTAAAAGCCTATTAATCTGTATGTCTCAACATGTTGGATGCCAAACATGGATGGTTTCCTTTTGGTTGCCGCCTTTTCCAAGAACCGTTTTCTAGGAGGTACCTAAGAGTATAAACAAAATGAAGGACACACCCCCTGTAGGGGGGGGGGGGGGAGGGTTTTTGATAGCCATGCAAATCACTTGCCTTGGCCCCCCCCCACCCACACGACGTGTTGGATTCCTCTATGTTAGTCGCCGGATGGTATATTAGCAGGCTGTCCAAGGTAAAAACTTCCTTTTGTAGTCAGAGTACAGCCAACCGGTCCAACCGGTCCAACCGGTCCAACCGGTCCAACCGGTCCAACCGGTCCAACCGGTCCAACCGGTCCAACCGGTCCAACCGGTCCAACCGGTCCAACCGGTCCAACCGGTCCAACCGGTCCAACCAGCTACATCTCCAGCGTAAGCGTCCCTAACTTTGGTTTGGATATGGGGTACACCGCAACTCATATCTTGAGACTCTGCCTCATATCATGCCTCCAATTGGTGATTTTAAAATTGGCGGATTTTGGCTTCCCATTTACCCCCTTACAACAACACGGGGTTCAAATCCAAATCCAAACCACCAACCCAAACCACCCAGAATTATCAATCAAGAACGACCTGATCATACTCAGTCTGCCCCAAAAAAAAAACATCCAAAAATACAAATCCCACCAAAGCCCCAACCACCAATTCTCCAAGATCCACCTGTAGGTCAAGAGCTGAGGGACAGTCGCTAGCTTAGTCCAAAGGACCGTCCCTCCACGGCTGCAAAAGCAAGACAGCAGCGGGAGGAGACCACGGACACCCGGTGCTGCACACCTAACTTACCCCTTAAAACTCCCTGCGCCCTGAAGAAGTTCTCATCTTTTACAGACATATAGCCCATGTTACCCAAAAAGTTGAAAAGTTGTGTTTTTAAGAGGTAAGCTAAAGTCAGCTTTGGCCTTCTCACCCAGCTCTTTTCTCCCCGCAACTCCTTCCGCGCCGTTCGTTGGGCGCCGTTCGGACCATTGGATGCGAGATGTGCCCGGTTGACACTTCCACGATTTTCAAACACGGAGGAAACCCAAAGCAAACAGTTCCTCCGGGTGTGTCTCCTTTTGGAGAAAACCCCTTTTGGCCAAGTCAAGTCTTTCGGGCAAACCGCCAATGACCCACCATTTCACGGGGGCCCGAGATGGTTTTTTAACACCAAAAACACCACCAAAGTCAGTGAGTTTCAATTTCGGTGCCCCCTGGTTCTTATATTGAACAAAAAAAAGCCACCACCGGAGTCAGTGAAGAAGCAGAAGGCTCAGCTCGGGCACACCCCGCGCCCTCCACCCCGCGGAGCCGCGGACGCTCAGCGCCGCTCAGCGCCGCTTCCGCCGCGCCTTGGGCTCCGGCGCCTTCTGCGCGCGGCTCGCCTGGCTGCTGCTGGCGCCCGCAGCGGGGGGCTCCTGAAGTTGGCTTCGGCGCCAGGGGAGGTTAGGAGCTTCTCGGGGCAGGTGTCTTTTTAGGGGAAATGGCCACAGGTGTCTTCTTAGGGGAAATGGCCATGAGGGTCTTTTTCGGGGAAATGGCCATAGGTGTCTTTTCAGGGGAAATAGATGGGGTTCCCTGGTAGATGAGAAAACACACCAGGTCAACCAGGAAGCGCCATCGATTTTTCGAGCAAAACAACCAAAAAGGACCTATGCTCGGGCCGGGTTTTGTCACAGCTTTTCAAGGGCGGGGGGGTCTGAAAAATGGAGTTCGGACCCCCCTTTCGATGGGTTTACAGCTTTAGATGGGGGCCTGGAAGTCGGACCCTCCTTTTGGTCGGGAAAAGGGAAACGAAACATTTTGGGGGACCAGTTTGAAAAACCTCTGCAGGGAAACCCTGCAAGAACCCACCAAATTCAACGAGAGTCCGCCGGTTCACGTGACCCAATGTCTGGGTTCCCTTTTGAGACAAACCGAACTGCAAAGTGACCGGGAGAAATCTCATGACCCAAGGGAGGCACTGGGAAGGTTATTTTTCTTTTTTGGTCTATCATCCCGAATAGTCACTGTATGAAACAAACCTCAGGGCAGGGTTTTGTTCATGTTTGAATTGTTGCCAAAAGCAGCTGACGGTGGCTCAACGGTCAACTCCTTTTCGCCGTTAATTTCCCCACGCCTTTCCAGTCCTGGGTAAGGGCTCGGAAATTCCGGGGAGGTTGCCTTGAAATGCTTCTGGCAATCCCACTTGGTCAACGTTCAACACTAAAAACCTTCGGGTTGGGTCCATGCTTGTCAAGGGCAAGAAATCCAGATCTGGGCGTGCCTTCTTTTGAGGAAATCAAAAGGAACACGGGGGCCCCCTAAAAACAGCCCGCCCCCCATATCCCGAAAACGCTGACCGTCGACTCCTGGCTCTTCCCAATCGCTCCCTCCCCGGCTCCTGGGGCGGAATAACCTCAGCCCGAGACGAGGCTAACCAACAGCTCCTTCCTTTCAGCGTGATTTGGTAGGAACCGCAGGGCCGTTTCTCATGCTTTGAGAAAAAAATGCCTTATGAAACCCATTTGTTCGGTATTTGTTGGGATAAAATGGTTTGTGAGTGGTTTGCTCTGTTGGCGTGTTGGGCCATTGGCCTTGGTTTATTTACCTGTTGGCCTGTTGGTTGATGGGTCCATTGGCCTGTTGGTATATATATATATATATTGGTGTATCTGTCTACTGAGCTTTGGTCTTTGGTTTGCTCGCTTTCTTGGTTCGCTATAAACGCACAAACTACTGGTGGCTTGGTGGCGTGAAGGCCAAAAGCCACCAAGCAATGGGCAACCTGACGGTTCCCCAACCCAAGGTCGCTTCCCACTTCGCCGCGGCGCCAAGACAACAACAAAAAGGTGTGTGGCGTGTTGCTCGGGGGCTCCGCGAAAACAAGCCCTTGCCCAACGAATATATGTCAGCAACTGTCGTGGGGGCTGGGGGGGAGGGAGGAGGGGGAGGGGGAGGGAGGCCCTTTAAGCCCCTATTAAGCCCTTAATCTCCCCAGCCCCCATGATGTCACAGTTCCTTCTGCTTGCCGAACCTGATCTGACGAACAAAGCAAGCTCAGACTAGGAGGCGCTCAAGCGCCTCACGTGTTGGATGAGCAATGCCTCACATACTACAACAGCTCAAACCGCTAGAATGTGTGTGTGTGTGTGTGTGCGGTACTTTAAAACCCAATCAACTCACTATCATAGGACATGTGTGCAAAACAAGCCCCTTGTTTACAGGGCTTTCCACCCTTTCCACCATTGGGGCCCCCTTCACAACCATACTGTTGATGGACGACATCCTTCACCTCCCCCAGCATTCATAGGGCTTCATTCATCCCCAGTTGGCTCAGGAATGGTCACCATCCACACAAGCTTAACATGAATTGGCTCAGTGCAAAGGGCTCAGAGAGTCCTACATGTACCCTCGCACCAACTAACATGGAAGTGCAAAAAGGCCCTTTCCAAGAGGAAAGTAGTCTTTCTACAGGGGTCTGTGCACTTCCATGTTAGCTGGTGGGAGGGTACCTATTCAACTCATTTATTTGCAATAAAACTGGGTGGTATTTCTACCAGGCGGCTGAATAAACGACGTTTCGCAAAACGCACCTTGTGTCCGAAAGGTCCGATGTGCCCCCAGGACATGGACATTTATTGGACTCCCGGCGTGGCTCCATGTCACTCCAAATTGATCATAGACCACTGGACGTTTCTTCCAAACCTGATATACTTGAGTCTTTCTCCAAGGGACCCCTGCAAGTACTTGGGGTGTCCTTTTGGCTTCCTCTTGAAACCCACCAAAAAGGGGGACCGATTCCGATTTTGAGAAATGCCCATATCAAGGCCTATACTTCAAACACAAACATTTCATCATGATTGGAGGAGGCTGATACTCCGACCCATGGACTTCCATGGGAAAAGGAAGTGGCTTTGTTTTGAGAAATATCCCCCCTTTCTTGCAGTAACCATAAAATGCCACCCCCCGAAAAATCAAAAAAAAAAGGACACAAAACAAAAAACAACTTTATGTTGCTACTGTTGTTTACTCTCTCCTTTTTGTGGGCCGGGGGAAGGGTTCTACCCTCAAAAGAACGTCTGGATAGCCAGTTGCTGCTTTCTCCATGCACTTTGCCCCAAAGACCGATCGCAACAGTGACAAGAAAAAAGCGATCGCAACTTGGCTATCTAGGAGGTTCCTGTTACTGTTATTTACTTCTTCTTCTTTTTTTGGGGGAGGGGGGAAGGGTTCTAACCTCAAAAGGACTAGAGGTTCCCATTTGGCGGGTCAAAAATAGGTAGCCCGCGTGGCTTGCCCTGGAAAGAAGTTGACTAAAACCCTGCGGTCCAATTCCTGGTGGTTTTGCTTGGACCCATACCCACTGAAGCTTGAGCCATATGGAAAACCCAGTGCAGATCCCAGGCAAACCCAACCAGTGGCTTTCGGGTGGCAAGACCCATTGGGTTTTCTTTGGGTTCTCGGCTGCTTTCTGCTCCCCTGCCAAAAGTGTAACTTTTAGTTGCATTTTTGGAAAACCCATCATTTAGTTGGCAAAAAGCCCAAAAGTTAAAGTCCTACCAGCCCTTGGCCAAATGCACCAAAGGACCCATTGGGTCCCCTGTGGGTTGTCCCCTTCGACCTCCAACTCGCCTCACCTGGGCCCGGACGCCGTCTTGACGAACCTGCCGCACCTCGCGGGCGACGCCGCGAGGTGCGCGGGGCTCGCGACGCCCGCGAAGAAAGCGAGCAACCAAAAAACGACCGGGGAAAATGGCAGGGAGCCACCCAAGCAAAACCACCGGGTGTAAGGACCCCCCCCCAAAACAAAAACAAAAGAAGTAAAAACAAAGAAAATGGCAGGGAGCCACCCAAACAAAACCACCGGGTGTAAGGACCAATCCCCCACCAAAAAAAGAAGAAGAGTAAAAACACCACCCGCCCAAAACAAAAAAGAAACGTCAAACAAAAACAAAACAAAAAACACTCAGGGACTCCGGCGGCCCATTCCAGTCAGCCGCGCCTGCGTCGCGAGGCCCTCTTTGAGGCCAGACAGGAGGCCCTGACGAGCACGTTGCTGTTGATCCGATCGGTTGGCCCAGACTCGGAACACAAATCATATGAGTAAGGGATCAGAATTGAACCACCAGAAAAAGAAGAAGAAAAAACAAGCACCGGTTTCCATGTACCAGAATTCCATTTGAAGTACCTGCTTTTGACCCACACCCATATGATCAGATTCTGTTTCATATGAAGTAGTTGTGAAGGAGACCCCAGAGTCGGGCTTTTAGGAGGAGACCCCAAAGGTGCGCAATTATGTTGTACCCCAAATTACAGAATAGTTTCGGAGGAGGCCCCAGAGTGGGTTGTCCCCCTTTAATTTCAAATGAAGTCTATCACTACTGTTTTTTTCTTTTCAGGGGGCGTAAGAAAGGGAAAGACTCCCCCATTGCCTTTGAACAGCGCAGGCGTTTCATCGCGCCGCTGCCTGAAGGTCAAGGCAACCCCCGGCGTCGATGCCAGAGACCTCGCGAGCCGGAGGAATCGGGTCGAGAACATCGGATTCCGGGTGGACCGAAATCAAAAAAAGAAACGCCTAACCAAGAGACATGGGCTTCAGCTTCCCTGCGTTTGATGGTTTGGTGGTTTGGTTACTTGGTTGCTGCAATGACTCTGCAAGTGAATAAATTGTTGTGGCTCCATTGCGGAAAACCCACTCTTTCCCAGAAAGTTAAAGTCCAAAGATCCAACCAAGTAGCCATAAAGGGTTAGAACACTGTTAAACAAGGGGTCTGGAAAAACTAACGAAGTACCCATCCACGTGGGCTTCCTCTTGGGATTTGTTGGCAATTATGGGCTATTAAGCACTCGGACAAACCGGGAACCCTACCAACCACTTGGGCTTGACAAGGTCCAACGTATGCCGAGAAAAACAACTATAATGCCGGGCAAGGCCGAGCCTCAACGCTTTTCCAAGATGCAAATGGGGGAGCAGCCCCCTGGTTTTGCGGGAAATTTGGGTGACCCCACCACGTCACCATGTCCCTCCAAAAACTAACAACTGACTAGCTGCATCTTTGTCAGAGCCACGATCAGAGCCCCCCAACTTCTGTCGGCCATGGTCAACTAACCCCCCCGGAATCCTCATGCCTCAAACCGGGATGTCTACGACCGTCCTTTGCAACCCCACCCTAAGCATCTTGAGATTCCCTTTAAAACCAACAGGGGAAAAAAAAGGAAAACAAAAAAAATAAATAAACATTTCAGCACATGGAAGCTAGTGGAGGGTCCTTTCTGACGCTTGGAGGCTTCCGGCCCGGTGCCGCAGCTGGCCCGAGACTTGATTCAAGCCCCACCTTTTTGGGTCTCTGTCGAAATAATAATAATAATAATAATAAACGGTGTCTTTCAATGGGCTTGTCCTCTCTTTTTTTTGGCAGAAAATCCCACGTCATAGAGCGACCCCTTGCTAGTTAGACAATGTCATGTTCCGCAACGCGAAAGGCTTGGGTCAATTTGCAACCAAGTAATATAGTGAGACCCATGCATTCATAAATCCCTGGCTGATTCATAGGGGGTTCATTAGTTTATTCATCCAGGGGTCAACCTTCAAGGGCTGAGAAAACTACACATGGGCGTGGCTCAAAAAAAGCTAGGGTTACGCAGCTTTCAGTCTTTGGTTCCATTTACCAATGTGCCATTGTGGTACATGCTCAAGAGCCACATGATTTTCCTAGGATCATGGCTTCATGTTTTTGTTCGTGCCCCAGCCCTGTGGAGAATTGGGCCCTATGCTGCCAAGCAAGGGGAGTTCCCTACCGCAAAACCCGTGGCGATTCACCGGAGGAGTGGAGCGATCTGGGGTCATGGGCTCGCAAAGTAGACCCAAAAAGATGGCTAGCTTCCTTGTGGGGTCCTATACCCCTTAAAACTCCCTGCGCCCCGGGGAAGTTCTCATCTTTTACAGACATATATAGCCCATGTGACCCAAAAAGTTGAGAAAAGTTGTGTTTTTCAGAGGTAAGTATACCTGAAGTGGGTACCCTCCAAAGAGTCCACATTCGCACACTGATTCATAAAGCGGATTCTCATCCCTAGGCATTCTGAAACGAGCACGACCAAAGTGAAACCAGCGGTACCCATGGTCGACAAAACCGACGAAACCCATCACTCACTCCCTCTTGGCCAACCAAAATGGTCTGAACTGATCGTTACCACCAAAACGGCCCTTGCCTCAAAAAGTGACGTTGTTGGGGGGGGCATGTTTGTCCATCTCCCACGAACTGGGGGGGCATTTTTTTCCATCTCCCAGGCACCCTCAACAGACCGTCGCGGAAGCTGGCGTTGCCGGCACCTGGCGTTTGGGATGCGTTTGGGACCTAGACGAGCAGCCAGAACCTGGTCTCGGGGTTTCTTGTGAGAAGGGAATGAAGAGCATCCTTGTCAAGGAGGCTCTGGTGTTAACATGTGTCTAACCTCCTTTCACTGCTTTTCAATCGGTGATTCAAGATGAATCTGCTTTTAATCAGCCTTTCACTCACTTTTCATCTGTGATTCAAGGCTTCCCAGAACTGCGGTAGGACACATCCGATGCTTTCAAGTGGACTACACAAGACTGAGTCGACAATCAAAGGGGCGGCAGCACCTATTCATGATTCGGGCTTGCCCTACTACTTCGCTTACACAAGAATTCATTGTGGTCAAAAGAGTCAAAACGACTGTTTCCCACAAAGGACGTGACGAGCCTGCTGGGAATGTTGTGACTCCCATGCCCCCCAGTGAACCATAGACTACTGACCAAACCTCAAATGGCCTTCCAAACCGGCGGTACCTCATCTGTACCGGAAAGTGATCTGATTGAGTCTCCTTTACCACAACACCACGCCCAAGCTAGAATTCACAGAACGGCCCCGAATATTTTCCGGAGATGGCCAAAAAAAAAGAACAAAAGCAAACCCAGCAGATCCCAGGCAAGATGTGCTCCTTGGCGATTCTCCGCTTTTATATATATATATATATATGGTGGCAAGCGCTTGGTTTACCTGCGGCTAGGAAAGGGCAAGCTGAGTGGCTTTGAGATCCCAAACCTGCACGGACTGGCTCCTTTTACCCCCAAAGCGTGCGAACCATGTGGAAAACAGCCCTGTTTTTGTTCTCATTTTTTTTAGAAGTTGTTTTTGTGTTTTATTTCTTTTGACCCTAAACCCTTTCTGCAAAAAAACAAAACCAAAACAAAAACAAGTGGCCCATCCGTACTGATGGACGAAATCCGTTTCGCACCACTTCAGCAACCCTGGTTTCTGATGATTCCCCCGTAAATACCAACAAACAATGGTTTCAACCATGGTTTCAAATTGGTGCAGGATTTTGTCCATGACTACTTAAAGGGCTCCTTTTGGTACCACAGAAAGCGGGGATTCTCAAAAACCGACCATTTAGCTCAAACCGTGGCTGACCAACCTCTTTAAAGCAACATTTTGCTTGTTCCCCTTTTCGGAGCCCCGCAAACCGCTAACCATGTCCAACAATAGGTCTAAAACCAACTTCAGCACCCTTTTTCCTGGGAGGTCAACCTCCCTCCCCCATTCCAAGGGGCAAATCTAAAACTCAGTTCCTGAGTGGATGGGTAAGAAAAAGTCCGAACGTGTTTAGCACTAAAATTGTCCAAACCCAAAAAGTGACTAAAGTCGAGAGCCCCGCAAACCGCGTTCTACCAACCATGTCCATGGGTCTAAACCCAAGCAACCAACAACCAACATGTCCAGCCAACTATAGTTGTTTTTTACCAACATGGTTTTACCACCCGTTCCAACCAACATGGGAAACTCAAAAAGGACTCATTTCCCTCACAATTTCCACCAAGCGAGCCGCACCACGTTTCACCGGGCCTTCCCCTTGCCGCGCGCGTGAGGAAAGGCTCGCAGCCAGGGCCCTGGCGGCAAAGAGCCAATGGCGAGGTCGCGAAAAGCTGTTGCTGCGTGTTTTGTTAGTCACATCGTGCTCTTGAATGTCACAGTCGTGTTGCTCTCTTTTGTCGGCGTTGCTTTTTTTTTTGCAGCGCTGGGTCTCAAGACCTTGCGCTGCCCGTGTCCGCGGGAATCCAGCCCGTCGCCTTGCTGCGGGGTTTGCCACGTTGCTGTTTTTGCCAGTCACTGGTTTGCGATCGGTGTTTGGGGTAAAGTGCATGGAAAACAAACAGCGACTGGCTACCCAGGTGGTTGTGTTTGTTCTTACTTGGCTATGAATTTTAAGAGTCGGAACCACGTCAAAAGTGGCTGGTGGACATGAATCCGCACAAACTTTGATGTCCACCAAAGGGTCCCTAATTAAGATCCATGCTCACTCCGGAAGCTGCCAACAACCAGCGATTGATGTTGGTTGTCTGCATGATGATCCTTGGAAGCTTTTTTGCTTGCTTGCTTGCTTGCTCGCTCGCTCGCTCGCGTGCGTGCTTGCCTGCCTGCCTGCCTCCCTGCCTGCTTGCTTGCTTACTTGCTTGCTTGCGTGTTCGTGTGTATTTGTTCCTGGTGAAAGGGGCTCAACGTCTGGATGTCTCTTCAGGCAACCCAATATGTTTTGACTCAAAGAACAAGTTTGACAATGGCAAAGCAGTGTATCTGCCAAAATGGCCCAGCGGATACATTTCCTGCTATAGGTAACCAAGGGGTTTCCCACCCAAAAACAAAAAGACACGAGGAAAATAGCTGGTTACCCATGGTTCTGGGCGGTTACCTACGGTTGCCTACAAAAAATGGGGCGCTTCACGCCTGGGATCGATCCACCTGCTTGGTCTTCCCATGGGCTAAAATCGACGCGGCGACGTTGACATCCCCGGCTTTGAGGCCGAGGTGGGCTCTTCCTCCAACGCTGTGCCGCTGTCCTGCGGTGCCGTTGACATCGCCGCGCGCGGTCGGTCGACTCGAAGCGCGGGGCTGGTGTTTTGGGGTTTTGGGTTTTGGGGCTGGCGGGTTCTCAGGTGAGTCAGAATCAAAACCCGGTATCAAAATGGTCGTAATCCCAGAACCATGCAAAGCATTGAGAAGGCGGCCGCAGCTATTCATCTACCCGGGTTTTGATTGTGGCTCAGGTGCGCTGACACCCCAAGCCCAAGGGTGGCGACCCAGTCCATTCCCTGAGCAGCGAGTGGGTGGACCGAAAGGCGTAACTTCAGGGCGCTCAAACCGATCGGAATGCCAGAAGCGCTTCTTGAGAAAAGCGGGGTAGGTGCTCCGAAGAATCCAGGAGCCCGGTGGCTAGGGTCCCGTAAAATCGCTTCTTCAGCCAGAAGCGAATTGCCGACGTTCATACCCCTCTCCCCAAAGGGGGTACATACCCTGAAGTGGGTTGTTAACCAGGGAATCCCAGACTTATGAACAAAGGAGTGCACTCCCACCCGATCCTACGAAGTTTACCCCGCAGCCGCGGGAAAGTTGTTGATGCCACCCTGGTTTTCATTGAAAGGAGGCCCCACCTCTCAAAATGTAGGGCTCCGGCAGTTGTGCTTCAATTCGGAAAGGAAAAAACAAAACCAGGGTTCGGTGCAGGCTCGTAGCGACCAATGCCCGTTGACTGGCTCGATCGGAAGAAGCGGACCATCTCGGCCGAAAATCGAGAAGCCCTTCGGAAACCCAACATGACCAAGAAAGGGTCGAGATTTCATTTGGGATCTTCTTTGCTTTATGTTGGGATTTGTCAAAAACAAAAAAATGGCCCTCCATCAAGAAACCCCAGGATCCTTTGCCCCCCACAAAAATCCTTGGAAACTCCAGCCCCCTTCCCTCAAAGAAACCCTGCGGGTTCCCAGAAGGCCTAGACTTCATCTGGGAGGGGCGGGGCACTTGTTTGGTGTTTTTCTCTTTTTTCCCCGGTTTGGGCTCGCGAAATGGTGTTGTTGGTTTTCTTGTTTTTGTTGTTCTTTTCGTTTTTTTCCCGGTTTGGGCTCGCGAAATTCACACAAGTCCAAGTGAGCAGCGTCGAAATGCGTATCGATTCTCATGGCCCCAAACTGGTGGACATCAAGGCCCCAAACAAAACTCCAGTGGCCAAATGGGTGTCTTTTTTGGGTGACTTCCAAAAATGGTTTTGCTTTTGGGTCTACTTTTTTAAAACCACCAAAAAGGGGTCCCTCAAAAAAAACAACCCCAAATTGAGAAAACCAAAATGCGGAAGGGCCGGTGGCAAATGGCCCCCTTCTGCGGTTCGAGTTGACCTCTCGCCTCCGTCTCTGAGCCGCTGCCATCGCGAGGCTCTGGGAGCCTGTCTCTTCAGGCAGATCCGACCCCTGCGGCTACCCAGGAGCAAGAAGCAAAAATGCAGAAAACACTTCAGGAAGCATGAAGGACCAAGGAAGGAACATGCAGGACACATTTCAACTTTTGTCGCCTTTGAGCTGAAGAAAACCACCCAAAAGGACTGAAGGGCAAAAAGGTCTTGACCGCCACCAGTTGCAACTTGTCCGCGGAAACCGGGCTTGGGCTCCACGTCTCATGCTGTCGAAGCTCGTTGGCTCCCATTGGGGCTGGGTCCCGACCTTGTCAAAGCCCTAAGGGCTGCGGAATCTTTATCCCGATAAAACCCGAAGAATGTCTCAAAAAAGACAACCCATTCGTCTTACGCTTGAAGCAACCGCGGATCCTTTTCCCAACCGCCCCACCCCCCCCCCCGTGCGTTCCCTACGTGCCACCTTCTTGTTGCCCGTCTGATTGTTTTGGGGGACACCACAAGGACAACCACTACCTTGGGGGCTTTAACAAACAAAAACCTATGACCCATGTATGAGCTTCCTCTGGGGCTGACGGGTTTGTCTCCAACGGACGACCCCCGCCCCCAAGAAAAAAAAGAAAAAAACCAGCATTGACGCGTGTTTCAACCAACCCCCAAAAGCGTCCCTGCGAAAGAAGACAACCCCAATAGGTACGGGTAAAGATGGTTTCAATTCAGGTCCACAACTTTTGCGGCCCGTCTTTTTTGCAAGGCCACGCTTTTGGGGGTTGCTTCACACATGAACTAAAAGGAGATCCACCGTTTTTTTTCTGTTGGGGTGGAAATCACTCAGGCGCCAAATAAATAAATGAAAAAGCCGGAAAAACAAAAGCCGGAGAAGAAAAAAAATAGCCGAAGAAAAAAAAAAAAAGCCAAAGAAAAAAGAGAGAAAACAGCGTTAAAAACAAAAAAGAGAGAAACAAAGCCGGACAAAAGAAGAGAAAAAGCACCAAAACACGAGGCCTCCGACCGAGCGCAAGAAGAAAAAACCGCCTCGCGGCCGGCGCAGCTCGGGGAGCGGCTTCCGCCTGCGAATTCATCGAAGCCGCTGCGAAGTGACGTGGAATGGGGTACCGACGGTAACGACCCCCGGGGGCGCAAGGAAGCGAAGCCATGCCCCATCCCGGCTCCTTGGCTCCAAAGAGTATCCGATTCATCCGATTGGATTGGATCATCGGAGATTCCTTCTGACCCATTTTTGTAAAAATGGGTCCATGAACCCATGATTTTGGGGTCCAATGATTTTGGTCTCCTTCCGACCCGAAATAAAAATGGGTCCATTGTGTCCATTATTTTGGGGTCAGGACGGTTTCCATCTTTGAAGGGTCAGAAGGAGACTCCGGGTACACAGCAAAAGGAAAACCAGGGTCTTCCAAAGAGAAAAGACACACCTGTATGGGGAGCGGGGGGGGTTCTCTTTTGGAGTTGGCACCCCTTTCTCATGGTGCTAAAGGGAAACCAAAGGGAAAAACACAAATTTGGGGGGGGGGGGGGGGGGGCTCTGAAAAATCCACACCCATATGGCTGGGTAATACAAAAAACAAACTAAAATCTAAAACAAACACACCCATGGGTCATACAAAAAAGGGGGGGTCTTTTTTGGGAGTTGATACCCTTTTTCTGATAACCCATTTTCTGGTGGTCTTACAGGGAAACCAAAAGGAAAACCACAAATTTGGCAATTTAGGAGGGCCTAAAGAAAACACACCCATATGGGTCATATACAACAAATGGGGGGAGGGTGTCTTTTAGAGTTGGTACCCCTTTTTGATGGTTTGAAAGGAACGGGGAACACCACCAATATGGGCTCCGGCCGGGCCTGTAAACCAGATGTTCTGGTGTCTTTAGGGACACGCAGAGGAAACCACCAAAGTTGGGGAGGGAGGGGGGGGGGGGCTAAAAAAAAGACACACCCATACGGGTCATACCAAAAAAATGGAGGGGGGTTCCCTTTTCCGACTGTTAACAGGAAAGCCCACACATTTGCGAGGGGTCCTCTAATAAAAGACTACACATCGAGGATCCAAATATATATATATATATATGTGTGTATGCAAGCTAACCAAACGGCACCACACACAGGCACGCGATAACTCTTTTATCCGAGCAGTGTGTTGGTGCCAGGGACTCATCTTCCCCTGTCAGATGACAAAGGCTGGGTGGGCCCCATGGGCCACCCAACTCACAATCTCAAAAACTGAAGAACGGGTGTGCAGACTGATAGCGCCCGCCCCTGAGCCGGGGCCCGTGGCACCCAGGCCACAGGGGGGTCTGCCACCAGGGGAAGTGAGTCACCCACCGGCTCCGGTCACGGGAGCATGGGTGGGCCCACGCTGAGATCAAAAGCGTCTCCATTCAGGACTCCTCGCAGAGTTCCTGCTTGGGGACCCTTTGCAAAGGGTCGAACCCAGAGAAATCTGGGTGTGTCAGCTCATCAGCCCGCCATGTAGGGCTTCTTGGATCCAAGGTTGCGCATCGCCATGACGTTGCCCTGGTTGTCACTGCCCACCGGGAGTCGGACCCGGGAGCAGAGGGCCTTGGTGCGTGAGGATCATGTTACAGAGGAAGAGCGTGCCCAGCATCTCCAGAGCTGCAATCCGCCGCTTTGGATCCCCATTCTTGAAGGCCCAAGGGTACTCCTCCACGTGGATCTGCTCGTGGAACCAGTACACCTCTTTCTTGTCCGGCTCCACTTTGTTGGAGCACCAACCTCCCACAAATGCCAGTCCGTCGTCCGAGGCGCTAGCATCGCTGCAACCCCACCAAGAGGACTTCGGCAAGTAAGGGGAGTACTGGACGAAAGGCGTGTTGAAGAGGAACCGCAGCATGAACGCCAGCATCCTGACCACCTTGGGGGGTTTCCCCACCGTGGTGGTGGCCATCTTCCAGGCCCAAAGTGGCTGGAGCATCGACTTCGCCAGCGGACATGCAGCCGTCGCCCATTGGATGCGACCCAGGGCCTTCTCGATGTCCTTTGAGTGCATCGCCTGCCCTTCCACCATGGTCAAGCCCCTTCCAAAAAGAAACCCGCCGGAGGATTAAACGAAGTTGATTATTCACAAGCCAAAGCAACGCAAAAGCATCAACCTTTCCGAGCCTCAGGGTACACTCAAAGCACGAAGGCACCAACATGAAATGTAAACCCAACTGTGCGCCGAGCGAGAAAAAAAGCAAAACCAGACTGGCTCCGGCTCGATACTGGCCGGATACTCGGCAGGATCCACCCTACTCAGCGGGATGCTCGGCTCAGCGGGAAACTTGGCGGGATCCACTGGCGAGCTGCTCTGATGGGATACTCGGCGGGGTCCACTGGCGAGCTAAAACCTCCATAACCAGGATGTGTTTGTTGGCTGCCATGAGGACCTGCGGGATGTTCGGGTGGACCACGAAACCCAGCCACGTGTTAACCTCCGCCAAATGCGTCTTCTTCCAGCTAAGCGGGGTGCCCAAGGCCAGGAGTGTTGCCAACAGCGCCACCGCCAAGTTTGCTGCCCCCTTGCTTCGAAGCAGCCACAGGAAGTCATCGACAAAGACAAAGTTCCAATCCACTTGAGGGAAAAGGGCGTAGAGGACCCTGAGCAGAAGGGCTGCCAGGCGTCCCCAGTAGGATTGGGCACTGGCCATGCCATATGTGCCTACCTTGTTCACCCACCATTCTTCCCCCAGTGAGGCCACTTGGAACCGCCAGTCCTTCCTGAGGACCTTCACTCTCCGGTGGGCCTTGGTGACGTCCGCCTTGAGCAGCACCCACCTGGTGCCCGGCTCCGGCCATAGCCAGCCCCCAGGTGGAGGTTTGACGACCCCCCTCTCGGGGCCAGGGGCACCCTGAGAGGGGGGTCCCTCCGCAGCTGCCGCATGTAGCCAATGAAGAGCTTGGACCCCATCCAGCACCGTCGGAGCCGTCGTCCTTTCCACCGTCTGGTTCCTGATGGTGTCATTGGCCCCTCCCACCGAGCCATCGTAGATCGTGCGGATCTTGTCCCCCTCGTCGATGCCCGCTAGGGGGCCGGGACAAAGGTCCTCGATTTCGCAGCCACAGCGCGATGCTGCCTCCACCTTACTGAAGGGGCCCTCCACCATGCCCATTGGGACCTCCTCCAGAAATGTGCCCCTGATGAGCTCGCTGAAGTGATCCGCCGAGGGGTAGTTACCCCTGCCCGTTGGGTGAGGGAGTTCCTGAACTCCGGCTCCTCCCCTTTCAGCTCCTTCTTGAGTGGCCAGATGCCCGGCGAGGTCAGGGGTGGGTCCGTGACCCCCAGTCAAACCCCTCGCTCCAGATCCCGGGGAAACTGGTGGTTGGGGTCCGTTCAGCAAGGAAGAAGGGTTGGCCGTCAGCTGGTCGGCCTGCCCCCGGCGCCAGAATCTCCCTGATGTCCTCCAGCAGGTCTTCTGGGAAGGGATGTGACCCATCCCCCAATGAGAGAGACTCCTGGAACTTGTCCCCCCACGGCGAAGTGAGGACACAGATCTTGGCCCCCAGCGCTGCTGCTTTGGACAGTGGCCGGGTCCAAGGGGCCAACCGTCCCAATGAGGGCTTTCCTCCTCCGTCCCTTAAGGGACGCTGTTTGAAGGCCATCTGAAGGTACATGACCTTGTCGGAGAGATTGGGGTCGTGCGTGATCGGCAGGATGGTGGGCCGATCAGAGATCTCCATGCCATGGTGTGCCCATGGATCCGGGGAAAGAGTTCCCCCCCCAAGTTTATCCGCCTCGCCATTCCTCTGTGTCGATGTCCGGACCTCCGGGTTGTCCGAGGCCGAAGCCGGGAGTGAGCCCAAGGTTAGTCCTGCCAACGCTTGTTGGCCCGCCTTCAGCCTCCGGGACTGGCGCTTGTTGTCCCCCGGCGTGCTGGGAGAAGGTTCCCTCGGCCGCCTCGGGGGGGTCGTTGGGTTCGCCTGGGGCGCCGTGCCCCCCGGCCTCAGTGCCTCCAGGACGGGTCCCGCTTCAGCATCTGGCGCTCTGTACCGGCTGAGGTCACAGAGTGCCTTCCCGCTTTGCATCATCCTCTGGGTGCTGAGGTCACTGAGCCCCGTGGTTGCAACGCAGATCATGCCAGTGGTGAAGTGGAAGGTCCGTTGACAATGTCGTGGACTTCACAACCACCTGGCCCAGGCGGCACTCGTCAAACTTGATGAGGGAGTGGTGGAGTGCATAGGCCCGCGTGACCCAGATCGATGAGCACCTCGCTGCGCTCGGGCTCTTGCTGCACTCCATCGGGTCCATCGGGTGCTCCAAGAAGGAGGAACCCATCTGCGGAACCGTTAGCTGACCTAGCCCCTTGTAGGCCAGCGAGGTCAGGTACATCTGTCGGAGCATGAGCACGCTGTCATTGTCCGTGTCCTCCATAACCCGGGGCTCCAAGCCCTCCAAGCCCCACAGGGTCTGCTCTGCTCTGCCCCTCACCGGCGGTGGGGCCCCCGGCTTGGGGAACCATCTGAGGATGCTCCACGTCCTGCAGTTGGGGCCGCCCCCCACCAAGGCAACCTTGCCCGCCATGGCCATGGAGCACATCGTAGAGTAAGGCTCCTCGCCCAGCATGTCCTGTCCAAGGTCTCCACCCTTTCGCCTGATATCCACCGCCCAAATGTACTCCGAAAAGGCCGGGTTGTAGGCATGGAGGTAGGCATCCAGGGCCCCCGCATCATCCTTCCCCGCGTACAGCAGGATGAGGGACGGTTTTGACGACTCCGGAACCGGCCGTGGCGTCCACCTCAGTCTGAGCCTCAGTCTTTCCGGGATGTTCTGCATCCATGGGAAGGTGGCTTGCCCCCCCTAGGGATTCCGTGTGTCCTTTGTCTGACCCTCCCGTCATCTGTCCCTGGGCTGGCTGCTTGTTCTGGCGGTTCTTCCCGCCCTTGGAGCGCGCCTTGCCTCTCTGGGGGGTCTTCCCACTGCCTCGGTGGGTGCGGGGGAAAGGGATGCTTGTTGTTTTTTGTTTTGTTTTGTATTTTGTGTCAGTGATGATTTCAGACGACGGACGATGTGCGCGCTTTAACTAAGGAAGAACTGCGTTTTGATCCACTTTGATG